TTCTTCTTCTTCTTCTCCCTCACGGGGTTGGTGCTTGTGGCTGGCGACATGGTAGTGGTGTTCATCCGAGACCTCCTCGTCGTCTTCGTCCCGAGGACTTTGGTGCCCGGGAGGCTGGTAGCCATCACCATCATCATCATCATCATCATCATCATCATCATCATCATCATCATCATCGTAGTCGTCATCACCATCTCCTCCTCCTCCGTGGGGCCGGTGTTTGTGGCTGGCGACATGGTAGTGGTGTTCATCCGAGACCTCCTCGTCGTCTTCGTCCCGAGGACTTTGGTGCCCGGGAGGCTGGTAGCCGTCACCATCATCATCGTCATCGTCACCATCATCATCGCCATCCTCTCCTCCTCCTCCGTGGCGTTGGTGCTTGTGGCTCGTGGCAGCGTGGTGGTGGAGGTCGTCGTCATGGTCGTCGTCATCGCCATCATCTCCTCCGTGGGATGGGCGCTCGTGGCGCTCGGCAGTGTGGTAGTGGCGGCCACGTCCATCCTCCTCGTCGCCCTCTCTTTGGTTTCCGTGGGCCTGGGCCTCCCTCTCCTCGGAGACGCCCCCCTTCCCCTCCTCATCTGCTCCCCCATGGTGGAGATGCCCGTGGACAGGAGGATGGTGCTCCCCATAGGCATCCTCGTCTTCGTCCTCCTCCTGATGGCCGTGGCTCCTGTGGCTGGGGATGGAGTGCCGATGCTCATCGGAATCCCCCAAATCCTCCTCGGGCCCATGGACCTGCCGAGCGCGCTCGGGGAAGGCGTCCTCCTCGACGGAGACTTCTTCGTGGTTGCCTTGGTATCTGTGGCTGTGGACCCACAGCCCTTCTTCACGGGAGACATCTTCGTCCTCCTCTCTGTGGCCGTGGAAATGATGTCTGGTCTCCGAGGAAAGGCTCTTCCCCCCCTCTTGATGGCCCCCTTGGCCGTGGACGTGAGGGTCAGCCTCAGCTGGCGGGTCCTCCGCGTGCTCGGAGACACCTGCATTATTGTTGCAGTTGTGGGGGCCCAGCCTGGCCCTTCTCAGCTGCTGGGTCATGGCAGGGGGGAGGAGCAGGCTGGCCACTGCCACCCAGAGGAGGGGAGTGTGTAGCCATGACCCACAGTGGCCCATGGGGACGGACGGGAGTTTCTCCCTGCTCGCTGTCCCTGTGGCTGGAGGGCGAACCGTGGGGTCTTTCTGTCCAGGAGGGATTGCCTCTCTCGACGTCTTGCTTTCGTTTTGTTAGTCTCGGTCCCAGCCAGTCTGCTTTCCTCTGGCCCTCTCTTTCCAACTCTGGACACCCCCGATGAGGTCTCCAGACTTCTTTGACACCCCCCCCTTCAGGCCCTCCCTCCCCACTCCCAGCCAATAGGGTCTCTCCCCTCCCCTGTGTGTGGCTAAATTTACTCCCAGCCCCGAGTTATTCTGGGTCGGTCCTCTTCTGTCCCTTCCTTCTGCTCTGCCTCTGCCCTGCTCGGCTCGGGGTGGGTGAGGGGGTCTCTTCTTGGCCAGGGGAGGGGAGCCAAGGCATCAGGCTTTGGGCTGCCAACAAGCTCGTGTTAAGCAACTGGAAGATGAAGGCCAGACTTGTAGCTGGCCAAGGTACGGGAGCCTAGGACACCTCAGAGGGCAGGAAGGACATATCTGAGGGGAGGGACATCTGCAAAGGGAGGGGTAGGATTATGGGGTGCTTCCAGTTGGAATGGGATACTATGGTGAAGAGAGTGGGTGCCAATATGGAGACTTGGAAAGGGAGCAAAGAGAAGCCCTGCCTTCAACACATGATCTCCTCTGCTTGGAACTCAGATCTGGGGGCTGGGGAACCAGCCAGGGCCTGGGCTATAAATACTGCAGGGGGTGGGGGCTCAAGTTACAGAGGCACAGCTGTCCCCATCGGAGAGCAGGCGAGGGGACATGTGCCCCCACCAGTCTCTGAGCTTAGGAGCGTCCCTCCCCATGTGTCACCACGGCCCTCCCTCTTTGGGGCTACGCCCCTGTATGGGTCCATCTTCTCTGCTCCCCATTCTTTGCTGGATGGCACCCCTTCAGTCCTAGCTTCTGTTCTGGCCCACAATCCCTTTGCTCTGAGTCTCTGCCCCACCTACCCCACCCAAGCCATCACCTTACCCTCTCTTTGGGTGAGTGTGACTCCCTTCATTGCTGGCTTCCTCTCTCTTAGTCTGTCCCCTCTGCTCTCCAGGTCTCTGTCCCCTCTCTGGGTCCCTCCCCTGGTTCTCCGTACCCTTTGACCCTTAGATCTCTGGCTTCTTCATCCTGGATCTCTGTCCCTTTCTCTGAAGGTCTCTGTGCCACCCCCACGCCTCCTTTCCGGTTCTTTGTGCCCTCTTTCTGAATCTCAGTCCCTCTCTCTAGGTCTCTGCCCCGCTCTCTTATGGATCTCTGTCGGGGCTCCCTTCTCTCAGGCTCTGCACACACTCCCCCCACCCCCACCCCTGTCTCCTCTAGGTCTCTATCTTCTCTCTCTGGATCTATGTCCCTCTCTGTGCGGGGCCCTTTCCCCTCCCTCTGGGTCTTGGCCTCTCTCCCTCGGTGTCTCCGGCTCAGCCCCGCCCTTGGCCAGCCCCCGGCTCTACGTGTCTCTCCGAGTCTCCCCGCCTCGCAGTCCACGCTCCGCCCCACATTGGGCTGGGAAGTGGCGGATCCGGTTTTCCCTGGGCGGGTCTGGGAAAGGGGGGTTGGCGGAGGGGATGTGGGGTGCCACTTGGGGTGCTGGGTTAGGGCGGCTGCAGCAGCATGGCGGTTCCGGAGAAGGAGCAGGTACTGGACGCGCCCCCATCCGTGGTCTGACGCAGCGGGAAGCTGGTCCCCACCCCCTCTTGCTTCAGGAGATCCCCGATTCCTGGGTGGG